CTGGGCTGGGAGCCGGGCAGGACTCGGGGCACGGAAAAAGCTTCCCTTCCGCCACCCGCCATGGTGTGTGAGTGACGGAGCTTGAAGCTGGTCCAGACCCCTCCACTGGCATCCAGATCCCCTTAAGATATCTGTAAAGAGCACCATAAAGCTTCTGAGAGGCTCTTGGTGTGTCAAACACCAGCCACCTCTGTTTGCTCACCTTGTCCCTGGAGCCTATTTTTGCTTGGTCCCAGCTCTGACCCTGGTGGCTGAGGTTGGTTTTGGACTGGTGCCTTCCCAGAGCTGACAGAGGCGGAGACGCCTCCTCAGTAAGGCAGAGACCTCCCGGAGCCAGGTTCTCCTGGGCACGATGGCATGTGTGTCCCAGAGAGCGCGGCCGCTGGAGCCCTGCGAGATCAGGACAGCAAATGTGCAGCAGCCGTGCACGCGTTATCCACGTGCACTGTGCTACCACTGGCCGTGAGACCTTGGCAGGAGAGCAGAAACGGGATGGAAAGCCAACCCGTCCACCCAGACGGGGCAGAGGCAAAGATTACTCGGAGCACTGGGAATGCATCTCCGGACCCTTTACCGATGCTGCCAGGTCAGAGTGGGCAAGTAAATCCTAGGCTTAGCTCACCTGTAGCGAATACATGGCGGGGCTGGGATCGCCCCCAGGAGGTGCTGCCCTGCTCACCCCCAGAAACGGGATGGAAAGCCAACCCGTCCACCCAGACGGGGCAGAGGCAAAGATTACTCGGAGCACTGGGAATGCATCTCCGGACCCTTTACCGATGCTGCCAGGTCAGAGTGGGCAAGTAAATCCTAGGCTTAGCTCACCTGTAGCGAATACATGGCGGGGCTGGGATCGCCCCCAGGAGGTGCTGCCCTGCTCACCCCCAGACATGGCTTTTCTGCAAGGCTCAGTCTCTTTGCCCCGAGTGGAAAAGCAGCAGGGGCGCCCGACCGCTGGTCCTTGCCTCGCAGAGCAGGCTGCTCCGACAGCCGCTCCCGCCTCGCGGG